CCCTCTCCTTGGCTTGCACCTCCAGTCCCATGCAACTGGACTGTTACCCAGCCCTACCGCAGGAATGCCGACATTTTGGTGCAGTGAAAGGACTCATTACAGCACATGGAAAATGTACATAAAAGGTATTTTGGAGATTAACTGGTAAATAAGAAAGCCATTGATAAATAAACCCACACAAGAAAAACTTCTCTCGAGTAGGAGAGCTCATTTAGCTTTTCAGAGCAATGACAGGCTTTTAAAGCATGAAATTAAGTTTCTGAAGTTCCAAGTTAAGAGACAAGTCTTTATAATGGCCAAGTTACAAAGAGAACCCCAACAAGGAGAGGGTCCAGAGGAGGCCACTCGCATGGTCAGGGGGCAGCAGGGCAGGCCCTACGAGGAGAGGCGACGGGACCTGAACCTGTTCAGCCTCCACAAGAGAAGGCTGAGGGGGGATCTGGTGGCCTGTTACAAACTAGTCAGGGGGGATCAGCAGGCGCTGGGGGAGTCCCTGTTCCCCCGAGCACCGCCAGGAGTGACCAGGAATAACGGTCACAAGCTGGCAGAGGGGAGATTCAGGCTAGACATCAGGAGGTGCTACTTCAGTGTCAGGGCCGCTAGGATCTGGAACCAGCTTCCAAGAGAAGTGGTGCAGGCTCCTGCCCTGGGGGTCTGTAAGAGGAGGCTGGATGAACACCTTGCGGGGGTCGTTTGACCCCAGTACTCTTTCCTGCTGTGGCAGGGGGTTGGACTCGATGATCTGCTCAGGTCCCTTCTGACCCAACCAACTATGAAACTAGGAAACCTTTGGTCACCCCATGGCAAGTCCAGGGGTTCATCACAATGGTATAGTCTTTAATCCCTAGGTCCAGCACCAGAGCTGACCATAAATAAACTGATCATTTGTGCAACTACATATATTTTAAAAGCACATATTTTTATGCTCTTAAATATAATATATAAAATATATATTATAAAAACATGATCTATATATTCTATATTGAAGACCACAGTCCTTACAATCACACGCATGACAAAACGAACGTTATGACAAGGACCCCCTTGGAGGCTGGAGCTCTGCCAGCCTGCAAGGGAAAAGCCACGGTCTCCCACGTTTTTCTCCTTTAAAAGACAACCCATTTTTAACCTTTTTACACATTCTTGCGACCCACTTTTGGGTGGTGACCCATGGGTTGAGACACACTGCCCTACAGAACAAGCACGTGTGGGACCATATCCAGGCAGGAGCATTTGCTTTAGGCAGAGCTGGTGTCCTACATGGTTTGCCTTCTGTGTAGCCTTATCTGTCGGTAGCAGAAGGGTCTAATCTCACCTACCGCACCCTGTTGCTTTGTCTTGCAGGGGGGGTCTCCCATCCTAGCAGAGCTCGCTTGCGTGGCTGCCCGGCAGCTCAGCCCAACGTGGGACCACTCGCTGTCCCCGAGTTCTCAGACCAGCTCACACCACCTCCCTAAGGCCTCAGCCGTCCCACTCTTGAGAGGGTAACACTTTAGGCCAGTGGTTCCCAACCTTTTTAGACATGAGGCAGACTCAAGGCATCCCCTGGCCAACACCAGCTCTTCATTTGCACTCTTTTTTTTGACTACAGAAAAATAACAGAGCAGTGTATTCTGCTGCAAAGATCCCCAACAGACTACAGCTGTGGCCCTCTATCTGAAAACTCGGGGTTTATCTTGTGAATCATGTTGGCAGACCTAACAGTGCTAACAGCCTGTGGCGCCCCATGGCACCCGGGTAAGGATCTCAAGGCACCCTGGTTGAGAATCACTACTTTAGCCCCTGCTCCTGCTCCTCCTTTAGCATTCAACCCTTCTTCTCCAGGAAGCTCAATGTAGGACCGTCCACCAGTGCCCCCGTCACAGCTCGTCACAGACCAGCTGTGGCCTCTCTGCCCTCCAGGAGGAAAGACAGACGGGCAGGAATCCACGCTTGCTCACCCCAGCGCTGCAGCTGGCTACGCAGTTTGACACCGCTCAAGGCAGCGATTCTCTGGGCAACTTCCATACCTACCACGCCCCAGCCACGGCCACTGCTCTTCAGCCCCTCAGCCCCACGCGCCGACAGGAGCCCCCAGCGTTACCCCTCCAGCTCTGCACTCCTTGGGCTGCAGCCAGCTGACCCCTGTCCCGTCTGCTTCGTCACACATCTCCGAAGGGGGCAGAGCTGGACTAGCTGGTGCCCCGCCCGTACGGGCCCAGCTTCTCCGGGCTACACTTACCCTAAATAATAAGGAAGAGGGACCACGATAGACTGTCCTCTGCGAAGAGGGGCTGCTCCTCTACTTACATTTTTCTTCTGGGCGTATTTTAGCCCTAGCTGATGCTGGTGTCTTCTGCTCCGTGACCTTCCCTTTCTCCCCGCACACCCTGGGACGGTCTGCCCCCTCTGCCAAGCACCTGGTGATGCCCCTTTCTAAATC